ACGGACTAGTCATCTCCCAACCTCTCTTTGAGAAGCTGAATAAATGAACCCAACACCTTACACACCTAAAGAGCCACTCATCTTCAAAGCTGCAGATTATCTGTATGGTCCTAAACTGAACTCAGGACTGAACAAAACTATGCAATCTTTCCAACTTTGAGCACAAGACACATCTCTCTCCTTCAACCCAATATTGCCCTTTGCATTGCTGAAGCAACTATCTTCATTGATCACCAGTACTCTCCCAAATCAGTGTTTTCCAAATAAAATCTTCTAGCCTACAAGCACAGCTTGTTCCCAGATTCACAGTACTCTGCACTTACCTATATCAAACACAGTTTTGTTGGTGAACTGATGATAAATCCAATCATCTCAAGTCATTCTCTAACACTAACCTAATCTTCCTCCTCAGTTTGTGTTTTTCTTTTTTTTCTTCCCCCCCCCCCCCCCCCCTTTTTTCCTGCAAACCTTACTGGCAAGATTTTAATAGCACTGTTTCCATGAGTTGATGTAGATAGTCACTGAGACTGAAACAGATCCCTGGGGAAATCTACACTAGAAGAAATCTTGATCACTAATGTCTCATCAATAAATACTATTTTTCATGATCCATCCTTAAAGAGATATTTAATAAAATAATAGATATTTTTCTAAAAAAAAAAACAAACAAAATTCAAATAAACAGAACACATTAATAGGCCACACGAACTAACTCAGTTGGTTAAGTAATTGGTTAAATAATGTTCAACTTTCCCAGCACAACTTTGTACAATCTTGTCAAAATAGACAAAATATGTTTGAAAGATGTATTAACTTAACACAAAATCATACTGTATGGCACTGAACTCTTTCTTCAGATTCTGATGTTTTTTAAAACTTTCCAAAATTATTTTTATCTTGAATCTGCTTACGGGTAATTACTCTGTAGCTCTTTGGGTCATTCCCCACCAGCACCAATACTGCATCCTGGTGGGCGGCATTCCAGTCATACCCCAATTCCCATAGCTTATATAAATTGGCTAAAAATTAACATTAATGAATAAAGAAGCTCCTTAGTTTGGCTGTTATCCTTGGGCATATCTTATCTAGATCCGCTGGTTATTTGTTTTTTGTTTTAATATTAGCAAGCACTGCCTCATCCTCCTTTGTTATAAATTACATGCAAAACCATATGGTACAAATACCTTCTGTTACATCAGAAACACAGCAAGTACTAAACAAATATTTGAGGTTTGCTTGGTTTTTGTGCTTTGTTTTTTTTCAATGCAATTTTGAACACTATTTTATATTGGACCTAAGCCTATATAGGACCTTTTATCTTTGCATGGAAATAATTGACACCTTCTCCTCTGGATTTTCATCATCAATATCTCAGTGATTTAGTACATTTCCTTTCTTGCCTGCTTCTTTGCTTAAGTTTGTAATTACACCCACTGCCATTTACTTCATCCTCCCTGCCTGGTGTGCAGCTTGCTTTGTGTTTTATTAACACACTTTCTGCAAGTGTGGAATCATGCCTTTTGGACCATCGGTATGATTTTGTCAAATACTTCATAACTTCCATTAACACTTCCCCTTCTAAATGTACCTTCCTGGTTGGTCATCCTTCCAATTGTTTAAACTTGAAGAAACAGGCTCTTCTAAAGCTCCTTGCTTTACGGACTGATGCCATATTCTGTTTGCACAAAGTAAATACAGACAAATAACAATCACTGGTACCTAGGCAACCGTGGGATTTCAGGTCAGCTATTAACTCTTCTTTATCTGCTAGAACAAGGTCAACTATTGATTTATTCCACCGTGGGTGCAGAACTGTGTGCATTAAAAAATGACCTATTCCTTCCAGAAGCTTTCTTGAAGTCTTTTTATTGGCATCATGAAATGTCAGGTAAATATTACATGTTTTAAGCAGCCTATTTTATTTGCCACCCTATAAGAAGCATATACATAAGGAAATGTTTGTTCCACGGCTGAGGATATTTCAGGGACCTGTTAGAAACACGTGACAGGTGAGAGATAACTTGAAACCCGAATAACTTGAATTCATCAGGAAATCCTTATGTCTGCAGCTCTGCTGGATGGCGATGGTTTGAAAAGCGTTATGTAATTTCCACTTAATCACACACACAACAACACATCTGAAGTCCACCTCTATTCAATGCAGGATGAAAGCATCAGCTAATGTCCTGCGCCCCAGGCCTGGGCTGACCTCTCGCATGCTGTCGAGTCCTCAAGGGACTTCTTTACTCCCTCCCCACCATCACATTTATTTCTTCCTCCTCTGCTGCTTTGCTGTCTACCCAATTTCTCTCATTGTACAGTAGTTGGGGAAAATCACTCCAGGCAAGGATTTTGAGTCTCTCAGATATGACGTTGAGAGAGATGTGACCTGACACACAGAAGGGAAAGGGAGACGATGGGGGTTACAGGCCAGCCACAGCTGAAGACTCAGACAACCATGAGTCCCCTGTAGGAGAAAAGGTTGGTTTCAGTGAGTCACCCAAGGGAAAGCATCCTGATCCTGGAAGAGAAATAGGAGCAAGGGGGAATTCAGATAGAAACGCTCTCCTGCTTGAGGCTCTGAACATGCTGAGAGAAGCAGCACCGAGAAAAACAGAGATCTGCAAGAACTACCGATTTTTTCCTTGGCAAAGCAACAAAGTTTTCCCTTACAGGAAAATGGCACTTATTTTTTTAATGCCCCAAAAGATGAATGATCTTCTGGTACACAGAATTCTCAGCAAAGACAGTGGTAGGTGAACTAGCAAAAGGTTTTACAGGAAATATACCATTTACCTAAGATAAAATCACATCACTGTGGTAGAACTCAAAATGATGATTAGACAAAAAGTAAAGCTACAACAGGTAACTTGGGCAACAATGGCAACTCACTCGTTTAGTGTACAGATGGGGATGGGGAAATGCATTAGTGGCAACGTTTGGGTCACAGAAAAGAGTGGGAAACCTTAATGTAAGCAGTTAGGCTCTATTTTCTACATATCCCATCTCAGGATGGGAGTTCACTCATAATGCCTGGGTCTCTCCATCTGCAAAGCAGACATAAAATTCACCAGGAGAGGGATGTTCTTGCCATTTCCACCTCATTCCTGTCCCCACACCAGGAGCACAGGGAAGAACGGTGTCAGTATGAATGAGTGTGAAAGGGTCCAGTTGTCAAGCGCCGGTCCCAAGGGAAGGGGCAGCAGCACCGTGGAACACTTTATGTAAGTGCTGCAGCTCCCAGGAGAGGGGAGCAGCAGCAGCAAAGAGCAGGGTGTGCTAAATACAGACTGTAGCAGGTGGTCCAAGAACTGGCTGTGATTTCAGCAAGCGGTTTATCCAAACCGGACGGAACTGCCTACCGCACGGCCCTGCAACAGCAAAAAGCAAGCTAAAAAACACAAGCGGAACAGGCAACTGGAGATTCAGCAATCACAGATTGCCAGGAGATGAGTTTCGCCCTGAAAACATTCCCACAGATGTCAAAAGTGCAGCAATCTAATGCATGAACGACAAGAAATGCAAACCCAGGCCTCCAGCAACAGAGTCACAGAAGCCTAATTTTGGCTGGGACCTATTTCCAGAGGTCATTTAGTTCAACACCTGCTCAGAGCAGGTCTAATGAGATCAGTTGGGCTGGGATGTATGCAGCCAAGTGTTAAACGCCTCCAAAGATGGAGGTGTCTGAAGACCTGCTAAGGTCCCTCCGAACATCAACCCTGCCCTCTGGTATTTTGACAGCTTCTCCGTTTTGGTCTCATCCACAGAACGGCTTCTTATGGACAAAAACAAACAACCAAAAAAATTTTTCAAGAACAAGAAGCAAAGACATCTCTCAATATATATACAATTTAGACTCCTGCTGAAGACAATTAGTGAAAGTTTTAACATCTCTGCACACTTTTTTCACTTCATATTGTTCAAATAATGAATAGATAATCCCAATTCTTTTTCTTTTATTTTAAATTTAATCTTGAAGTCCATGAATTTGACACATTTACGCACTGTAACACTACTCTCCACATGCACAGGTGCGTGCATAGACACACACAAATGTCTAAAGAGATGCAACTGTTGAAACTACAAAATAGTGCAGAATCTGAGGGAGCAGATGGCTATGCATGTAGGACCAAGGTATACAAAGCAGCAGGGTTCAAGGATACTTGACTTTAGTCTTTCCTGACTTGATTGCTCTGCACTGTATCTTAAACAGGCAGCAACATTTTAAGTCGTTTATACAGAAGAAATATTTATAAAGGCTATAAAACACATCATCTGCCAAGGACACTAGCTTCATACCAACAAGTCACAGGTTCCTGACGATGATACACAGCCAACTTCACCTGAAGGTTAGGTCATGAAGTACCCAGCTCATCTCTGTGTCCATATGGAACAAGTCACCATCTACACTCATGTGAACCAACTCTTCGGGGAAGAGTTTATAAATTGAGGAGCACACAAAGGTTACTATTAGGGGAGACAAACTATTCAGTCAAAAGAAACAAAATATATATCACACACCATGCAAAATGCCATCTGACTTGCACCAGCTTTTCCATATGCAATTACTAGTTGGCCAATTCCTTGCAGCAATTTTTCATCACAACAGTGGATCATGAGGAAAGACATAAATATTTCAGCAAGTTTCTAAGCAACTGAAAAACAGTGCTTTGCAAGGGATATATTAAGTCACTGTTTAATCCTAGTCTTCGCTGGGAAATAAGGTGAAGTTTTGTTTCGTTTTTTTTTCCAAGCCAATCGTTAGCTTACCCCAACGTCTTGATATGAACAACACAATTACAGTTTTCATGTGTATTTACCAACTGAGGTAAACACTACTAATTGCCGTACTTCTGCAAATGTTTTACAGTGTGCTGAGCAAATTGGGGAAGAGGCAAAAGAAGGAGAAGGGCCTTTCCTCCCCAGGAATACACCAGCACCACGCGTTCCTCCTGCGGTGAAGGAGAGTTGCCATGCTTTGAATGGCTCCGGGAACTTACCCCAAACATCTGTCGAAGGTCCGGATCTCGAAAGCGGAAGGGAATGTTGGACACATGGAGCCGTTTTGGAGTGGATTTGCTCTCGGTGTTCTCACTGCTCTGTGTCTGTGATTGCTGTCCATCTGTCTGTGCCCCTCCTTCTGTCTGCTGAAATCAGAAAGACAAAGTTGTGTTTGTGAACAGAAACCATTCAAATTCCTTTCACAGGCTTTGCCCATCTCTTTTCATGTATTAGCACTACATTTGTGATCGCGGTATCTGAACACTTGACAATTACTTTGATAAAGCCAGTAACGCTTCACAATCGATCTGTTGTTCTTCCCCTCTCCTTCCATGAGTAAACACTAACGAGATCTCAGCTTCCCTCCCCTCGTATCACCTTTTTAGCTTAGCAGATTTGCCTTTGGTTTTCTTAAATTGCTCTCTTTTCCCCTGCTCTTCCTCACTTCAGCTGCCACCATATGAAAGCTCTAATGAAGAGGCGGATCTTCCGTATCCTGAAGCTGGGAGGTAGTACCGCCACTCTAATCTCATGTGGCAGGATGTTCATGCAATCATCAAAATCCCACAGCTGAAGTGGCAGCTCTTCACCAGGCCAATACCAGAAATGCATCCCCAGGCAAAATGGCATCTGCTCTGTCAAGTTCCCTTCAGAGGAGCACTACCCCAGAAGGTCTGTAATTAAATGGGAAAAATCCACATAGCAACAGCTTACGGATGTCTTTGATTAACTTTTCTAGCACGCTTAAAAGTCAGCCCAGGGACAGGAAGCAGTCATTTCCACCGCTGGGTTTATAAAACCTCCAAGTGCTACTTTCTGCTACCAGCTCCACAACCAAAAGGAGGGAATTCATTCCCACATTCCTTAGCACTGACTGGCACGGCAAAGCCGGGGCGAGGTGTGGGCTTTGGGGCACTTGTGCACAGCAAACACACAGCAAGAAGGTGTGTCAGTGGGCCAGAACAGAGAAAATGGGCAGGGAAGAAGAAAGGGAGAGAGCCTCAGCCACCCATGCTGGGCTTAGAGTAAGAAGTGCTAGTAATTGCTAGTCAGCTTTTTCAGGCACCTTCAAGAACACTTGCAGGCCTTAAAACTCATGATTGAAGAGTAGGGGGGTTGATTTTGTTTGGGGGGTGCTCTTTTTATTTGTTATATACATAATTTGTCTCCCAAAGTCAGAAAAAAAGTCTCAGGGGAGCTGCCCACGCTGGGTATGGCCAGCCCCTGACCATTTGATACACACTTAGTGGATGTTTGGAAAGAAACCTCCCTCCACAGATAAACTGAACCAGCAACAACAAGAGCTCCTTCTGGCCAGAAACATCCCTTAAGAGCTACGACCTTGAACTTGCACGCTGCTTATAAAGGACTGACAAGAGCAAGCTCGCAGTAAGCACCAGGGCCTTGTCGTGCTGAGCAAAGCAGTGGCAGCTTTCCATTTTATTTTAGTAGGGCAGCGCAGGCAGCACAAAACATGTTTGATCTGATTAATATAAATTAAGCTGTGATAGGGAGAATGGAGATACTGCCCTGCAATTATCTCTACTCCCCAGAGCCACTCAAGTCTCGGGAGAAGCGTAGCAGGATGAAGATTTTTTATTTGGCTTAGACTCACCCCCCCCAGATACTGAATTGTCAAGAACCACCTCACAAACTTCCCTTTGATCGTATCAAAAAAAAGTTGCCCCCCCTCCCTAAATTCCCTGTCTTCTTTCTAGCCTCACCCCGATGACAAAATGCGTCTCCAAACACACAGAGTGCACCCTAGGGGAAGAATCGATGCAGCTGGCTTGTGATTAAATCACACCATGCTATTCGGTGGTTTTATTTTTATTACTCCATCAGAGTCCTTTGCTCCTCAGGGCAAATCCGTCCAAGCAGGACAAAACACAGGGGTAGCCCATCCATCACTGCACACAATGCCTGCCTTGGAGCGAGCGCTCCAAAACAACTCCCCAAAATCATCAACTCTCCTGCTCCAAGGGAACTCTTCCCCGTCCCATTTTCAGGCACATCCCGGAGCTGTGTGAGAGCCGTTTGCCAAATCCTGCCTTTCCTACGGCCACAGTGGGGAAGTGCAAGTGGGCAAATGCCCACAGGTGAGTCCTTAAACACACCAGCGCGTCTCTGGCTGGAATTAGGGAAGGCTGAGATTCGGCACTGACACGTTTTTGTTGTCACCGTTCAGAAATTCAAATACAGGCTGCACAGGACTGGATCTGCTGCTTCCACGGGAGACAAAGGCTCGTGCTCCTCTCCCTGCCATTTGCTCGCGAGCAGAGGGCAGAGCTCCTTTCTTTCCAAGGGTGCAATATATCATGTACAGTGGCCTGCTCAAAAATGCTCACAGCTGTTCCTGCATATGGCAGCGTGCTGCCGCCACACGGGAGTCGGTTTTCCAGCACGTGAGACGTGTACAATAAGACAAAGGCTTCAAAACTGGGGAAGCAAGAGAAAAGAACAGGGGGGCTCAGCCCGATCTTACCTTGCTGACTACGCTAACACTCCCTGGATCTTGCGCGGCCTCCCACATCTCCTGATTTTTCAGCAGTAGTTGAGCATGAAATGCCTCCTGTCTCCCTGGATGCTGCAGCTCCCTCGTTTCCAGCACCCAGGGCCCTACGGTGAGCTCTGAACTTTCAGCCCCTATAACACGAGCTCAGTACGTTTGTCCGCTGCCACACATAAACGATAGAAATAGTCTCTTCAGATCTCGCTGCCTTTTTTTTTTTTTTCCCCTTTTCCTTTTATAGTTATTCCTTGTCTTAACTCATTAGGAAGGAGATGAAAGGAAGGGCCTGGAGCCTGTTCTCCGGCAGCACATAATGGAGACTGGCAAAGCGCTGCCCTGCCCGAGCCCGATGATAAAAGCCGGCGATTCACCGCGCACCCGCTCCTCACCCCGACCCCATCATCCCCTCCCCTGCACTGCTTCCAGCTCCTTCCTTCTGGCCTCACGTCAGCACCTGGCAGCTCGGGGCCGACCTCTTCCCTTCGCCACGACAGCACAGAAAGGAGCTGACGGCTGTCCCCTGGGTCTCGCTGCTTGCCACGGGGCAAAGACCCCGCGTCTGAAAACAGCCTCGGCTCCCCGCTACCTCCTCGCCGTAGCCCGGGTAACACACACTTCTGCGGCGATAACGCCATCCACGCCTGCACACACAAGCTCTGAGCTGTTCAAGGTCACCGGGAGATGGATCGGAGCTCAGCGCACGCAGGGTATTTGCTTCACTCAACCACTTGCTCCCCGTGCCCCCCTGCCACTTGCCTGCACCCGCCAGCAGCGAAGAAACGCCACGCGACGAGGGGTGGCTGTAAAAGGAGGCGTGCACGTGTACCTGTGCAGAGAAACTACAGCAAAACACACGATAAAACAACCCCCTTGTCCTCCTCCCCCACAGCCCAGGTGGTCCGTAAGGCTGTGAATCACAGCGAGGGGGGTAAGACCCGTAAGTCACCGCAATACAAAATATTTACAGGCTGTAACTAGCAGCTCGATTTAAAAGGGGACCTGGGCAGTTCATAGCATCTGGGAGACAGGCTGTGCTCCCTGCTTCTGGAGTCTCAGGTCCATTAAAAAAAAAAAAAAAGGAAAAAGCAACCCTGATCGGATCAAGACCTTGAGGATCTGTGTGGAAATAAGGGCTGGAAACTAGGGCTGGCAGAAGGCACCCTGCCCACTGCCAAGGAGTGCAGCGATAACAGAAGATCTGTGCACTTTCCAGTGAAGAGCCTGTGTCAAAACAACCAGTCACCCATCAATAGATACCCACTAAGCAGGTCTGGTGGAAAAACGAGTGAAGAATTGGATTCTGGACACTAAACTCCTCTCCTGCCTCACCAGAGAAGCAGAGCTGCACACCTGAAAGCAAAGGGCACAGGAGCTTGCGCTTGCTTCGGGGATAATAATCACCTTTCAACAGCAGCAAATTTTATTTTAGCATTGTATCCATTTTTCAGAGATGCCAAGCATGGTTATATAAAAAAACTGGGCTACGGTACAGGCACAACTAACAATGTGCCCAAGTGCTTTGTATGCCAAAAGCTTCACAAAAAAAAATAATGGCTAAGGATGTACCAAACCACTTCCCTGGGCTTTTAACCATTTCCAGCAGCTAGATTAATTTAGGGCGTATTTCTTCTGATTGCTAAGTACCTGTTTTCAGACACACTAAAGCTTAGTCTTTTTGCCCCCTTTCCTTATTAAAGACAAACGCCACCTGGCCAAACAGGGCAAATGCTCGGTGATGCTCCTCCAGCCTCCCAGCCTCCAGAAAACTGAGCTGGTTCATGTCCTCCTCAGAGCTGCTCACTGGCAATGAATCTATTGCCCGTGAAATGTTTAGTGAGTTTTATGAGCCTGTTTATACTCTCAACTTCTAAAGCATCCTGTGAACAAGATTTCCCCAGTTAAAATCTTCATTACATGGAAGGAAAAAAAAAAAACAACCACCAACAAAATGGTTTTGTGTTTTGGGGTTGCGTTTTTTTTGGTTTTGTTTTGATGCATGCCACTTATTCCCTGTTTGCATCCTAGTCAGTGAAAATGGGAGAGTTCCCTATTTGGTTTCCCATACCTCTCCATACTCTGTATAGCTCACACTCCCTCGTTCATCTGTCAGCTCTTCTCCTGTGAAGATTTCATTTCTTCTCGTAAAGAACCTGCTATATCCTTTTCATCATCGCTATTATCCTTCTCTGTACTACTTCAAGATCTACTCTAACCTTTGAGAGAAATGCAGAACTACCACAGCTGTATACTCTAACACAATGATATTTTCTGATTTACTCCCTATTTCTCTTTTGAAATCATTTTCAAACCTGCCTCACCAGACACGAGTCTGGAAGTGCCGACAAGCAAAATAATCTGCCTCATCCTCAAAGCAAATTTCTGATGTTAGATGTCAGAGTTTGCTACCTCAAGACAGTGATTTCCAAGCTGCTGTGTCTAAACAATCAGCAGCTAGGTAACTTATTTGGAGCTGGTGCCTCCTCACATCTACTTGCTCAGTGGTATCAAAAGATAAGCGAGGATATTCATTAAACATAGTCCTCACCTGAAATACCTTACGTGAGCAAATGCTTTAATTACCGAAGTGATGAAAAATAATTACAGAGGAAAATTCTGCTAATCTCAGACCAGGCAAAGAAATACCCAAGGGAAAGTCATCCTTATAACATCATCCATGCATTACAAAAGGAAGTTGAGGAAGCCCTGTGGTGCTGTTGGCTCCCTTCCTTCTAAACCCTTATTAGATGCCTGGGCCACGGCCAGAGGACCCAGCAGCTTCCCCCTCCTGCCCCTGAACGTGATAAGCAGGGGTCCCCCACCGCAGATGTGCCTTCTTTAAGGAATCTGGAAGCCTATAGCCCTTTACGGTGCAGCAGATGAGTTAAATATGCTTCGGTATGGCACGTCAAAACGCCTAGAGACACGCTGCTCTGTAATTAAATAATGCTTTATATTGGTTCACGACAACATAACACCAAGGCGACAGCACCTGCCATTTTCGTGCAAAGTAATTTACATAAACTTACTCCTCGACTTCCAGAGCTCCAGCTGCATTTGGTAATTTATATAGACACACAAATTCTTCCCTCTGACATTAACAAGAGAAACGAGTTGAATAATCAGCTCCCAGTATTAAGTGCAGTGCATTTACTATCAAGCAAGCTTTTTTTTTTTTAGTTCAGCGGATGATTAATCTCCCCTCTGTGGGTAGAGCACAGGGAGCTGCAGCGAGCTGACAATTGCTCTCGGCTCCCGGCCACGCGCTCCGGGCGCTTACCTTGGGACAACAGCATTTGCTGGAGTCCTCCAAGAGCGCCCCTAATTCATTAACCCAGCAGAAGAAACAGACAGCTTTCTGCCAGGTGAGTGAATTGAAGTGGCTCACGGAAGGAATGCCAGAAAATAGGAGTGCTCAGAGCCAGATCTTTCTGACAGCAGTGCACCTTCAGAGCAGCTCAGCTGGCGGAGGAACCGCAGCCCCATCGGCAGCTCCATCAGGGAGAAGCATGCTGATGTAAGCCAAAAAGGGGTAAACCCTTCTTGTAAACCAAGTAAAAAACCATGTAAACCAAGCCAGGCGACCCGGCACTATAAAAAGTGAAATGCAGAGCGTCAACGGCTTCAGAGACGGCCCGCAACGGGCAGAGGGAGTAGGCCAAATATGGCCCGCTACACCTCCGTCTATTTTTAAGGCAGGTCTTTCAGCTGTGCTTTGGGACAGTATCAAGAGAAAGGACAGATGCTCCGAGACGATGAGCGGGAGACCCACATGCCAGGCGAGAAACAAAGCCCCGCGGATGAGGTCTGATCCTAAAATAAAAAAAGATTCCAAATTATGCAGCTGTTTGCATTACGCCACCTATGTGCCCGTTCCTTTTCCGTGCCCCAGCCCCGAGAGCTCCGAATGCTTTCCAGCACTCTCGGCTCCAGCACCGAGCTCACCCAAAGCTGACGACACCAACCAGCCATTCCCCTCCGCCCGGGGGTTTTACAAAGCCCGGGGGAGCATCGAGGAAAGCATGGACTTTGACTCCCAAGGCTTTATTTTACTTCAGTTCCCTGCTGGTGTTTGACCTCAGCCTTCCAGATGGCTGGGTATTAACTCGGCCAACACCACTGATAAGCTCAAGCCATTCAGTCCTCACTTTTCCATGGGGTCCTGCCAAGTTCCTAGGAAAAGGAGCTCCCACCCTGTGTTAGGGACCCCACTGCAGACCCCATTAGGCCGCTGCATAACCTGATACCAGCCAGAAGAAATTCCCCTTTCCACGAGGGATTTTGAAGCCACCTCATATCCTGTTTCTTCTGCAGTTCCCCCAAACGCTTACCAAGCCTGGGAAGGCAGCAGCCCACGCCACCTGAGCACAGCTTTTGCTATCTCACTCTCTCCTGCCAGCCGGGCGGCAGCAGAGGCCTCGTTCTTAAATGCCAGGAGGGACCGAAGCCGCCTGGCTGAAGGAATTTCTGAGCTATCCCACGGGAGCACAGGCTTCAAGTCAGCAGCTAAAAAATCCCCCAGCTATGCAGTCTGGGGTATCGCCTTCGCACACATGACAGCAGCTGCGCCTGTCAGTCGCAGCGAGGGGAGGGGAGGATCACGTATCACCTTGCAACGAGCTTTTACTGCGTTCAAGTCAGCGCTGCCATTTGAGCGAGGCAACAAAATGGTGAAGGGGAAAGGCGCCTTAAAGCGGAGCAGCCTTGCTCGCGTGGATGGGATGTGTGTGTGTCACACGAGCAAGAACCAGCGTACGGGACAGCCGAGGTGCTTGGCGTTGGTGTGCAAGATGAAGCAGCCAACCTGCGCGGCGGTGTGTTAACAGCTTGAGCCACTGCTGAGCCTTCTTCCTTCCCCTAGTTACTGCATCATTAATCAGCGTGCCGAGGAAGAGAAGTTGCGAGCAATTACATCCCAAGGCACCCCACGGCATCAAAGTAACTCGATACAGTAGGATTCCTGGACAGAACAGATAAAGGGACACGGAAGATCCAAAACCTGATGCGTGTAAAGCGTGGGAATGCCCATGCGAGGCGCCTTGCCTCTCCCCCTGGACATCTTCACATGCCAGCATGCGGGATGCTCTCAGTCCCAGCCGTAGCAGCAACAGCCGGGCTGCACCCTGACCCTTTCACAGCTGTGGTCTGAGCCCACTTTTGCGCCCTTCACACCCTGAGCCGTGTTAAGCCCTCGGACCCACCGTGCCCATCCACTCCCGGCAGCCAGCAGGCCGGCTGCGCGCTCCCCTGCCTGTTTCTCGCATAACCTCTCCCAGTCACGCTCCCTCCTGGCAACGCCACCTTCTCCCTGCAGTCTCCCAGCAACCCTCCCTCCTCCCACGCACGCGGGCTGCTCTTCTCCCTTCCCCGGGAGCTGAGCTGAGCCGTGCCGTGATGCACAGCGCCGGGATGCGCCGCGCCGTGCCACCCTGCCCTGCATTGCCCTGCACACACAGCGGGCTCCGCGGAGCCGGCACGCACTGATGAAAGGCAGAGCTCGGCCCTGCAGCGCCCCGGGGATGGCTCCTAATAAGGAAGAGCACAGGGAGCTTTGGCAAGAGCTTTCGGCTAGGGTCAGGGCTCGCAGCGCTGCCGTTAAAAAAGAAATGCTCCTCGAGCTCTGGGCAAAGATGGGAGCAGCAAAAATATGCAGCGGGGAAAGCTGTCGCCGTGTTTTGCTCCCCGTTTCCATCCTAGCTGCTGGCTGGAGACAGCCCAGATCTTAAAGGCTGGGAGGACACAGCCTGGTACTGAAATGATGACTTTCATTTCTGCACGCTGCATCAGCTTTAAGTTTTATTTCCAGCCTGATCTCTCCCTCTCTACATTTACATTTGCCTCAGGCTGAAGAAGTTACTTTTATGCGCTGCCAACGTGCTTTCCTGGGCTTGGACTCTTTTCTTCCCCGAGACGTGGAAGTTGTGGCGTTGCCAGGATAAACTCAAAGGGACCTTATCAAAGCCATAACCTGCGTTGTCAACCGTGCAGCCACCGTCCAGTGCAGAAAGAGCAGAGCCACACGCTGGGAACCGTGCACACTTGAGCTGGCACTATCACTTCTTCCCATCGCTGGCACTAAATTCACTCTGTACTTACCGGGGGAAAAATAATCTCTGCGAGCCAAACACCCAACTACAAGCAAAACTGAAAGCATTAACAGATTAAATCCGCCCCTGAGCACCGAAGGCTCTCACCATAAGGCTCTTTATTAGGAAGTTAAGTCTTAACAAGTGGCTTAAGGGGTGGATAAAGCTTTTCCTGGGATAATCTGCCAGCATGTTGCCCAGTGCCAGTTCCAGGCCATGGGAAGAAGAAAGCAAAAAAAACTAAGAAGGTGAAAATCTTCGTTTGGTAAATGGATGCCTAGTAGCTGAGAGGTCCTCTCCTATCTTTGCCCCTGGAACTTCCTGCCATCTTCAGAAAGTCAAAGAGAAGTGTTTTTCTACTCTGTTAGCTTCCCGAAAGCAGAAATGCATTGGGATTACACCTACAATACATGCGCTCTCCCTAATCCTCTGTACTGTCAACCTTCCAGAACTTGCCACCATCACGTTCACTTGAACCACTTGCCAGTTGACTCAAGGTAACTAATCCTTCTAGAAAGGAGCGTCCTTGGGCAACGCCACCGTGGTGAAAAACCACGGTTCTCAGGTATGGCTCCTCTTCCCAGAGACCTATTTACAGGAGAACATGCACAAGAACGTAGCAATGGATCATCAGAACCTCCGGCCTTTTGCGATCCTCTCATTTTCAGATCTCCCACCTGATGTGCTGCATACTTCAGAAGGAGTCAGCCACCTGCTCCGTGGCTGCCTCTTCCAGAAGCAGCTCCCTGGCCGGAGAGCCCAGCGACCCTGCCCCAGACACTTACTGCGAGAGATCCGTTCTGCGTGCTGGCCGTGGTCGTGCTCTGCTCTCCATGCGGCTGCGTGCTCCCGTAGAGCGTCAGATTGTGCTCGCTGGTCTGGCCTGCATAGTCCTGAGTGTGTGGCACCCCGTACTCTGTGGGAATCCCGTTCTGTGGGGGTGGCGGAAATGGGATTGTGGTGAATGGCTGCACCATTGCATCAGGAGTTGCTGCTGGCTCCTGGTTACCCTGGAGAAAGGAGAAAGCAGAAGGCAGCTTTACTACACCGCGGCAGGCAGATGGAAACATCACCCGGAGAAGTTATCCACAAACAGTCCGTGTCAACATCCCACCCACCGCCGCTGTAATACTGCACCGTCTGCTGTTATCTTCTCTATCAAAAGGAGCACGCCTCGCTCCTCCGAACTATGACACCGGTTTTTAATCTCTTTTGGGCAACTTTCTCGCTGCTGGGTGGCATACGGAGAACAAGCTATCAGGCGTGCAGTTTGCTTGCTAAGAAAACACAGATACCGATTGCTACGGACGCAGAGATAGAAGAACAAGGTGCTAGCTTTCAAGATCCCTTCAAAGCTAGGAAAAGGGGGGAGCTGGGGAGACCTTCCCGAGCCCCCTGGGGTGCAGGAGCACAGCCTTGGCATTGAAACCCAACCCTAGGAGGCCCAGCCCGCAGCACTGCTCCTACCGCTTTCACCGCCGCCGCAGCGAAATCCACGGAGAAGATTTATGATAGCAAGGCTGTTTGATTTATGTGCGTGTCAACAGACTAATCCTGATTTTAAATTTTGGCTGCTGTTCCAGCCCCGGGTCCTCCCCCACAAAGCCCAGAGGTACTTGAGCCTATTCTGACACCAGCATGCTTCAATCAACGGAGGAAAAGGGGGAAAGGAGCTTGTCCTGCAGGCGGGGAATTACAGAGCAGCCTTCAGCAGGGAGCACGCCGGGGCTGCAGGGCCCCCGCTGCAGCTGGACAAACCTCCCAGTCCCTTTATCAGGCTACCTGGGACTTTCCCTTCCCGGCAAAGGGCACGATGACAGCATGCATGCAGCCAGCACCAGCTCATTCAGATGCCATCCGAGTCCCAAATCTGCTCGGACGTCGGCGTACCCAGGCCTCGTGGCAGCCTGGCTTTGTCTCCCTCGGGTGAGGCTGCAGAGCGCAGCCCTCACGCAAAGTGATGACTCTTTGCCCCAAAACGAGGATGGCTCCCTGTGCTTGTGCTCACTCCCAGCGTTATGGTGTGGGGCTGCCGACAGCCTCAACCCCGCTGGAGATCTGTGGGGCGAGCTCCAGCTCCACGTCACCGTCTTTCCAAGCTCTCTGCTGCTGACCACGTTTTGTTACATCCAGCCTCCCGCCTGTTTCCATACAGCTCACGTTGCCAGCCCATTTCTTTTGTTAAACATTAAGAGCTAAATATGAAACCGATCTTTTCTTTTTTTTTTTTTTTTAATCTCAAAAATCGGTAAGATAACCCCAGGAAAGATGCCGCAGCAGAAACTATTTCTAATTTTCTTCGAACAAACCAGATTCGTAAGCTGGTGGGATCCCTGATAGGAGGATGGGAATGCTAATTAGCCACCAACAAAACCTATTATGCCATCTTCTCAACAGTGCAGAGTTGCTCCCTGAAGGACATACTCCAGCGTTTTGTTTAATCTCACTCCTCGGCTACTTAAAATGCCAGCCCAGAAACCTTGTATCATCTTATTCTCAACGTTTCCCCCCCCCCCCCTCAGTTAATACTGCTCCTTCTGGTTTAAATGCATTGCAACCTTTTAAATATTTTCTCTCCTTTCTTCAATTATCTACAACTGTTTGAAGGATGAAAAATGCTATCTCTCTCTCTCGTGGTGTTTTGATGATACATATTTATTCGGAGCTTAATCACATCTCACAAGCCAAAATAACCTGGCAACTTTATTTATTACTTCTCTCTGACCTTCCTAAGATCTTTATATAAGGAATTTTTGGTACAGAATGCAATGTTTTAATACCACTGTCACTTCGGTTTTTAGCAATCTTACTAACACATGCAGAAATCATATTTTTTTATTACAAATGTATCTTTAATTTAATGTCTCAGGTTATCTGTAGATCTACCACTATTATGCTTGTCCAGGTTTCATCATCCGAGGGAGTATCTGGATCTCAAATTATTTTCTCTTGATATGATTAGGTACACTGTTTCCCATCTGATTATTATTTTTTTTATATATATAATTTTAATTTCCTTCAGTGCTGTGGAATTACTTGTCCTGTCTCCACTGCTGTCTACAAAGAAGAACTCCTGAGGTGTTCTCCGCAGGTTTCGTGGCAGACCGATATCCTCCCCTCCCGTTACTCTACCTAATTTCAACATTTACCCAACACTTCATATTTTCAAGAACTAACAAAAAAAAAAAAATCCCATTTATCTTCAAACACAGAACCTGAACTCCATTCCCTACCTCCAACCCTCCAGGGCAAGCCCTGCAGTCAGGAGCGTTGCTTTTCCCACTTCCCAGGAGGTCTAACGAGCAGCGAGAAAACCCTTGCTGGAGGTATGCAGAGGGGGGGGGATGCAACCAGAAGGGCTGAGCTGCAACTATTTGGTCTGTCCTGTCTCGACAACATACCTCACCGCATCGCCAGTGCTGCCTGGTTTAACTCGTGAGGTTCCCCACGTCAGGGCTTGACATGGACAGACTGAGGTGGCCACGCCAAAGAGTGGTCACCCTTGCCAAACGCGTGCACAGATGCCAGGATCGCAGGATGGAGAAAGCCCAGCGACGCTCCCCCATCGACTGCTGCTGCTAGCGACGTGTGTGATGGGATGAAATGAACCTAATTAGCGCTCAGGAGCAGACAGCCCCTTCCTTCAGCTGCGAGGTAGATGGCGGCCGCAGCTCCCCCGCTCCCACAGCAAGCGCTTATTTATCTGCGGGGCTCGGAGCAGCTCCCTGGGGCCGAGCTCCGACACCTGCCCCATCAGCTCACACCACCAGGGCACCAAAGGGACAGAGGACACAGATACCAGACCAGGTTCCCAGATTCGGGCCCTGCTCTCAGCCCTACAGAGCCAAGGCCTTGTCCTCGAGCTGCCAGCTTCCCGTCTCTGGGTCGGGGTTTGGCCTACGCAGCTCAGCCCACGTTTTATTCAAAAACCCATTTTAAGGCAGTGAGAAAACCCCAAACGGGGACACAGCTCCATGAGGCGATGTGGCGGTAACTTAATTAACAAAAGCTGGGCAGACGAGCCTTCAGCAAACCCGTGTGGCAGCACCTCACAGAGGGTGGGGGGAAGCCTCCACCAGAAGCACCGTGGCTCTGCGAAGGGGATTTAGGGTGAATTCTGTCAGCAGACAGCAGGTGGTGATCCAAGATCGCGGCACCGAGCGCCAGGGCCGCAACCACACACACAAAGGCCTCCCGCTCCCGTAAAGCTGTCAGCTAACAAAAAGCTCGGTGTATTTTGCCAGGGGCCGCTTTTGGGAAGCGCCACAACTTGGGTGTTGCCCGGTAGCTTATGAAGAGCCACGAGCTTCGGAGAAAGGCTCAAGGAAATGTTACAGCTCGTAAACGTGAGCCTCTTCAAGGCACCTTTCACTGCTGGTAAGCCCCAAAACATCGGGCTAGACGTGAGCAGATGCCTGCTGAGGGCACGGGGAGGGCCAGCCCCGCTGCTGACAGACAAGCCTCTGCCGTGCCTGTGTTACTGAGGCTGGAAGGAGCTGCCTCCCGGCTAGCTGAAGGCAATTAAGGTGTTTGTGACGACTGGTGTGTTCCCAGCTACGGCTGTTTGCTCTCCGTGCCAGCCCTAATCCCTTTCGTCAACAGCAAAAAGTGCTCGGAGCTCGGATCTGCAGAGCCCAACGAGATAGGGATGAGGGAACGGCGCTGTCCCCCTCTGAGCAAGTCACAGAGGCCCCTGGGGAGGCAAATGTGCCACGTGGCTCCCGCAGAAGAGGCCTCGTGTGGCTCCTCGTGGAGCAGACAAGGGCCACCCTGCAACCCTGCTGTAGCAGACCAAGAGAGAAGTGAGAGAAAACACAGGCTGCCTTCTCCCCCTTCTCACCGTGAATGAGAATTAAGCCTGCTGCAGCGGGCTCACCTTCCCAGCCCTCCCAAAACAGCCTCCTGGGGCTCCGTGGGTGCTACGGCTCCAAGTGGGGCCGCCGCCCTCTTACATACTAAGAGTACTAAGAAGTACTTTTTATTATCAGGTTAGTTTTGTTCCCAGTTAAGAGTGCTGAAGCGGCTTGGCAGAGAGCAAGAGGAGAACGGGAGCCAGATGGGGGGGAGCAAAGGGCTGGGGCACCCGCAGTGGGATGAGCTGGGGCGAGCCGCAGCACACATTAACCCTCTCCCAGGCCATCCCCAAATTGCCCCCTGATGATAACAAGCATATTAGGGAGCAATCTAAATTATGCCTTGCTCTTTAGGGTCAGTTTGTGTTGAAGACAGTCAAACACAAGCCGAAGTGATGCATGGGATGGTGCAGCCATGTGTTTCCATCACCCCCATCCTGCTGAAACTCAGCCACACGAACCCTTCTGGGATCTGGGAACATCATACAAGCTCTTTACCCCAAAACACAGTAATAACACTTTCCACGTCATCGCCATTTCATTATTGACCAGCTTCTGAATGGGAAGAGCTTTACAACTTCTAACTTTTACTCTAAATCAGTCCTTTAGCACCCGACCCCATAGGTACAAAGCCTATGGAAAGAAAGGTTCGGAATGAAAAGGCCATACAAAGCTAAAAGGAAGGGGGAAGACACAAGGGAAGGAGAACAAAAAGAGAAAAATGCAAAAATACATGTGGACAACATGCCTTCCCAGCAAGCGTTACTGATTACAAGACCTAGGACAGCACAAGGTAACTTCTGAGCACAGTGACTACATCACCAGCCCCTGGCAATCTTCACCTCTGCCCAAACCTTCCCTGGACCGGCCTGGGTGCATGACCCCAACCCGACACCCACACCTGCAGCGAGCACTACAAAGGCATTGCTGAGACTCCAGAGAGCGAGGCCAGCATGTCTGTCTGTCTGTCTGGCGACCCAGACTGATAAAATCAACTTTTTTTTTTTCCTTGATGTTGGTCGATCATAAAAGCACCTTGAGGAGGATCACAAAATGAGGGGGGTTGGGATTTCACCTCCATGCCTGGAGCTTGCTTTTCATTAGATTTATGACACAGTGGGGATTTTTGACTCTGCTACCGTAGACACAACAGCAAT